TATAAGCCCCTTCCGGGTGTTTTGGTTGGGGATGGCCTGATTTTGGTTTTTTTTTTTTTTTTTTTTTTTCTTTTGGTCGATCTTGACCCGATTTTCTTTTTGAGCAATTTGGATTTTTTTAAATAGAGCAACAGTGGAGGACGTTCTCAAGTTAGAAGCCCTAAAAAAAATCTGATTTTTCAGTATTCGACCCATCAGTCACCGGTACACCAATTGATGAATTTCTACTAGTTTCATTGTTCGCAGATTTTCCTGATTTCCTTTGTGCTCTAAAAGCGGCTCCGGTGTTATGATGCCAAATAAAAATGAACACTTTTGAAGAGGGCTTTGTTTTTAAAAAGCTGTTTAACAGCTCAAATGAACCGATCGCTTTGCCTTCTGTGATGTCATCAAAGGTTTGGCCGGTTTCCTTTTTTTTTTTTTTTTTTTTGCAGGGCAGATTTCATCTTGATTAAAAGAAAAAGTTTACAATAAAATCCACAATAAACAATGTGGCAAACTATATCTAGCATGAGTTTGAGTGATGTCACAGAAAACTGATGTTTAGCTTTAATGCAGTACAGGGTCTCTATTTATTGCTTCCTACCCTTAATTCAAGAATAAAATGAACATTTTACTTTAAGTACGACAATTTCTCATGATTTTACAGTCGGTGTTAATTCCCTGTAAGGTGTGGGGACGTTCTCTCAAACACGTCAGGTTCATTCAGAGTTCACTTTTGTTCAAAATTCTGCTTGGCTATGCATAATTAATTGATCCAGTTGCTCATCCTCCTAAAATAACTCGATGTGGTCTCTTGCATTCAAGGGATGACAGATGCAACCATGCATTTCCTGCTGCAGCTAGACGTTTACTTTACAATGCCAACATATTATTCTGCAAGTGAGAATGAACAGAATTAGCATAGACCGGGTCCTTTTTGGCCGTCCCCTCGCACTGGCTGAACTCTGGACGAGTCTAAAAGTTTAAACCTGCTCACTTTAACAAGCTATTGCAAAAGGTTGCTGCTTCCTTCGGCTCCTCTCCTACACATCTGGCTTTTTATTTTTGCTTTGTGTATGTGTAAGCTAGGTGGTGATGGTGGTGGTTGGGGGGCAGTTGGCCGGTTAGGCTAAGATTCTGCTCATACTATCAGTTTTCCAAGAAAAGATCTGTGCTTAGTGTGAAACATGATGACTTTCTCAGTGTTTTTTCCCTCTCCTTCACTCTTTAACTGGAAAGAGGAACAGAGCTGTCAGGAGGCAGAATATGAACTGGGTCACAATGACCCCTTGGCCGCAGCTCCAGCTATCACACTCTTTTATGTGATGTATTACTACCCCTGATACGGCGTGTTTATAAAGCGCAGCTATGGCTATAAACAGGAAAATGCCATTGTGCCTTGGAGAAAATGGAACAGAAACACAGGTGGCTCTCACACAATGGGCTGGCTCTCATTTCTCCACTTTGTGGCGGTGATGCAGAGAAAGCACAGGGCTGTAGAGTGAAAATTGGCGCGATTATCTTCTGATTTGCACTGCTGCCCTGTAGCACCAGGGCCTAGCTGTGGCAGTGGGGGAACATAGAGACAAGGACTTAGGAGGGGAGGGGGGAGAAAGAGGAGGAGGAGAGTGGTGGTGATGGAGGGGGGTGGGGGGGAGTTGCTTTGATTCACCCAAATTTTCACTCATTAGCTTTCAGCAGCTTCATCCTCCCTCTCACTCCCACCACTGCACTCTCATATCTCACGCAATTGATTGAAACCCTAAACGTTGAGATCAGGCCCAGCACAGCTTTTCTATGAATAGTTGATTGGCTGTAATGGCGATGGCGTGTGTTGTTTCTTGCAGGGCGTTTCAGGTCAGGGGGCCCGGGGATTTTTTTTTTTTTCTCCTTCAACATGCTTGGCTGATACTGCAGTGTTGCATGGCGAGACACTTAGAAAGTCTTGTAAAACAGGGTTTTAGACGAACTCCCCACACCGGCTGCGCTGAAGCGTCTCAAGTTTTGCACCAGTAGCAACATTTGGTTGCAAGCAACTTATTCACAGCTGCTTTACTTTACATTATTCCAATTTCTCATGCTGATTGATTGCTACATCACTGATATCACATTGCAAAACTGTGTTCACTCTTATTCAAAAAGTGGACAGAATAAGAATTGGTGCTATCAGTAGAACATTTTATTTTATTTTATTCACGGTCGCATCTTCTGTATTATATCCTTTTTATCTGATTTGTAGCTGCATGCGAGGTCAAATTAATCACTTGCTAGAGCAGTGTTTCCCTCTGTGTTTTATAAGCCTGGCGGGCCACCAGGCTTTACTTGTGCCCCCACCAGGCTTAGCATTGCTTATTTATTTAAGTCTTTTTAAAATGTTTGCATTTTTAAGACTTTATTGTTGGTGTTCAGGTATTAAACTTCCAATCTTTCAATAACACATAATTATGAAGTAATATTTTCAAATTTCCTGTCAACTTTAAACATTGTTTAACTGAAAAACACGACAGGCCGCTGGATGAATGAGTGCCCAGAACCCCAACCACCAGGCTTAGCAAGTTTTTTTGGGGAAACCTTGCTAGAGTTATAGATGTAATATTAGCTTGTACTTTAGCTTGGTGCTGCTGTTCAAGCTACTAGCTAACTTTTCTGTAAAATCAAACTGACTCAGAATGTTTTTCCTGTTAGTTTCTTTCCTCTTTATTTGCTTGTCTTCAATTAAAATCCCCGATTAAAGTTGCTGTGCCAAGTAATTGGCTTGATTTGTGTGCCTCTTGTGATGTCACCAACCCTCGGAGCTGCTTTAGCAGCTTTCCTTTTCTTCATCTTGCACTTTTCTTTACATTTTGTGAAACCCCGCAGTGGAAGCCCACCCTTCCATGCCTACTTGGGTTTTTATAGTTAGTGTACATTTATTTGTGGGGGGGAAACAAAACACCCACACTGGATAGTCTCTTTAAAATACATAATGCATGAGATTGTGAGACACACACAGACGGAGGACACATTTATCTGCAGGTGGACGCCTGCCTCTGGTTGTTACCGTTTTCGGTGTTATTAATGTGGCCAGCCGCAAGAGTGCAGCTTGCGTCCATGCGTGTGTGTGTGTGTGTCGTACTTGTTTTTTTTTTAAGTGCAACAGGCGCCCCGTTTGCGTCCACGTTTATTCCTCCACTGCGCTTGGCGTTTTAAATCTCAGTGCAGGGCCATTTAAGTGCTTGACCTAATTTCTCTGGCAGCGAGGAATCCGCTGGTGAAGGCCTTCCTCTGTACCTTCATGTGTGTGTTTGTGTGTGCGAGTGCACTTGCATATTGCTCTGGGTGTTTCCTCCTTGCCTTTCTAACAGGAAGCTGATGTGAAGTTCAACTGAGGACAAGGAAAAGGCCTTTTCTTTCCACTGTGAATCAGAGAGAGAGAGGGAGAGAGAGAGAGAAAAAAAACGTTGGGAGAAGAAAAAAAAAAAAGCCCAGGACACTACATTGCTTTAACCCTCTGCAATCCATCCTGCTGCTTCTTTCTTTTTAGCTGTTGTCTGTTCTATCTGTTTTCTTTCTTTTAATGAAAATTAAAATGCATTGCTTTTTTTAGAGTTTACACATTTTGTGAGCATTATGAAAGGAGCTGAAAGCAAGGGAAGGGAGAAGTGTCGGTTCTTTGGGTTACATTTCTAACAAACTTGCAGCAGAAGTAGTCTGTAAGGAAGGAGGAAAAAAAGACACTCAACAAGCTTTTTTAAAGCCAGCGATGTGATGTTAGTGAAAGATCACTTTAGTTTTACTAGAATGTTATAGCAGAAAAGGACTGGGAGCTTAGATTACTGGCAGCCCGAAACAGTAATATTGTTCTCAGATCAAACTTGATGTAGATTCATTCAGTCTGAAGCTCATAAAGTGTAAATATCCTCTCCGATAACTCAGGAACTGAACTCGGGCCAGGGCAAATGGAAGAAATGTTGAAACGGCATGACCTAAACCCTAATTGCACATAATCTTCGTCTTCAAAGAATCATGCACATATCGCGGTCACGGATGAATTTTAGGGAATTAAACCAGGCCTAATATTCAAACCGAAAACCACCTACTTGGTCGTCTTTCATGTGTTGTGCAACGTCGTCTGGCACGTTTGAACTGCGAGCCTGCAGGATTGAAGCAGGAACAGGAGCACTTCAGGAGTGTGTGTTTAGAGTGGGACTATAAAGAGGAGTTTTTAACCAACTGTGTTCCCTGTCTTTACTTGTTGTGTGTTTGCACAAGCGGTTGTCAATGGGGCAGCGGGGTGGACTCGCTCAGGAGACATGTCCGCTCCCAGCAGCAGTAGCAGCAGATGTGTTGGTAAATTTTTATATTGTAAACCTTGATTCATCTCAGACTGGCTCTGCTCTGGAAAATAAACGTAATAACTCGATTTGTAATTAAAACAAACGACTAAAACTTATGGTTTAAATAAAAAAAAAAAAAAGAAAAAGAAAGTGTGGATAAATTCGAGCCAGTTTTACGTCCAGCAGCAGCAGCAGCAGAACTGTTTCATTAAGAATGTCCTGTTCCCAACTTGTGCTGCCAGGGGTGTGTTGAGAGAAAAGAACGCCGCTAAACCTCGTACTGTGCGTCCCAGTTAATCACGAAGCTCAATATTTCACAGTGCAAGTTGAAACAACAGGCAGGGAATGTTCCACCGTCTTTAATTTTTATAACTCACTTTTTTTTTTTCTCTGTTTTTGTGCTCCTGCTGCAGGACGAGAGTCGGGCTGAGTGAGGACGACCTGGGAAGCGAAAGACGCTGCAGCGCAGGTGAGCACGGGAACATTTGGAAAACGTTGTTGGGAGCATAATTCCTCGAGTCATGCACTCTTAAATGTCATGTTAATTGTTCATGTGAATCTACAAATTTGATTTCTGACTTTGATATTCTGTTGAGCAATTGAAGCCAAGGCATCTTTAAGTCAAACAGAGCAGCCTTTTGGCTCTGCAGGGAAGTAATTACTAGTGTGGAAACAGGAGAAATCCAGTGGATGTCATGAGAGGAGAGACATGCGCTGATCTTTATTTTGTGGTGGTTGTACAACCAGTTTTGTCAATCAAGATATTTTCTTTCCTTTCTCTAGCGAGTGAACATTATTATTTATAATAGGAACAGAGGTGACATCTCACTGTGAGAAAGAGAGAGAGAGAGGACTCGCCATAAACGGAGGTTGAAAGCACTTCATTCTGCCTTGTAGTTATCTGCTCTCTTTTGAAAACAGGCAGCTCTGTGCGATACAGAAAAATCAATCCACAGCCACAGTTTTAGTTTTTAGCAACATTTTCTTCAGTCCTGTCACTTCCCCCTCCTTCTGTCGCCTTTTCCGTCGCTATAATCTGAATTAGAACTGGATGTAAAACTCCAAAACTTCCCCGGTGCGTTCTTAACTCAACAAAAAAATTTAAATGTTCTGAAAACTTACGTTGGTTGATATATATATATATATTTTGCCTCTGCATTACTCTTGTAGATAACTGAATGCACGTTACTCAACCTGTGTTTTTTTTTTTTTTCCAGCTCTTGGTTGATCATGTTTGTTTTAACTTGCATTTCAGTTTGTTGGAATTTACTGGTGCAGCATAATTCATCTCCCACAAGATCATTATCAGTTTCTGAAGAGTTTGCTGTGTTTGCTTGAACAGAGCACAGGAAACTAGATGTTCCCCTTAATCTTCTTCTTTGTGCTCTTTCAAGTGGGAAAAGACCCCCCTCCTTCCCCACCACACCATATACATACACACACACACACACACACACACAACAGCGATGATACATACAGCGCTCTGTACGAAAGCCACAGAATGCAGTAATTGTATGGAATCATCCTGTCTGTGAGTTCTTTTTGTGGCTGCAAAGTATGATTAAGTGGACACAGTTTGCATGTTTCTCTTTGCACATAAATCAGTGTGTCGTACAGTAATTAGTGTATTTGGAAACAAAAGGGGGCTTCACTTGAATTTGAAATCAAGTTGTGTGGTTTGGAGCATGACTCGGCTGCAGGATCGTCTTCTGACTGATAGGGTGGGACAGTTTGTTCTGTTTGTTCAGCCAGCTCCCATCATTTTTCTGACAAGGCACAGCAATATTTTTTTTTTTTTGTTTGTTGTTTGTTTGGTTTATTCTTTTGTAAAAGGTTGCCAGAGATATTCACGTGTTCTGAATAATAGTCGGAGTATTTATAATATCAAACCGTGGACTTAAGCGGAGGTTGGATGTCGGTCGGGACCGTGGCGAAAAACCTGACTTTTATTGTCAGGTGTGGCTCACAGAAAATTAAAGCTTGAAAACTCGAAGGTTTTAGAGCAAAGGTCTTAGGAGCTTAGGCCAGAAAGTACAGAAACAATAAAACAGTCAGAAACTCACACTGAATAACTGGAACTTGGCATCAGGGACGGAGTCAAGTCCGGGAGGCTAAAATCGAGGCTGAATGTTTAGAACCTTGACAAATATTTAAAGGCATTGCTTTTTGTATAATACAAGAATGAATAGACATGCAGTGATTTACATTTTCTAAACTAAATTAATCAGTTTATGTTGCACAAGAGTTTTATGCTAAATTTACAAAAATAGTAAGAAAAGTTGTCATTTAAAAAAAAAAACATTATATTGCCGTCTAGAAACAGTTAATCAGATTCTAAAAAGTTTACTGCTCCTAAAGACACATATCCAGGTCATGTCAATAAATCTTTAGGCATTTTATTATTATTATTATTATTATTATTATTATTATTATTATTCTATGTCAGCATGCAAATGAGCTCAAAAAGGCCAAACCATCAGAGCCAATAGAAACTATGTGATTTAATAAAGTTACGCAGACAACAGGTGACGGGAAAAGCCAAAAACGATCAAGACGCAGCGACAACAGATTAGATATTTTCTCCCTCACGGACTATGAGCATAAAACACCAAAGATAAGTTAGTCTTCCCCCTCCCCCCTCTACATCGGTTGTGGGTTTAGTGAGTTTTACATGTAGAGCAGTGATACTGATACCGCAGGAAAGAGCACAGTTTGAGCCTTAATTTAAAAGGTGGCTTGTGTGGCTAAGATGATGTTGCAATAGTGTTGCTTTTTGTTTTTACGGGTTTTGAGTAGAGATGCAAATTTTTCAGTGTCTGTGTTTTCAATTCTGATTTTTAGGATCACAATTTGATTCAGAAACTACTTTTAATTCAGAGATAAATTTTTCTATTCAGTCGACAGTTTATTTTTGAATAACAATAGGTTTGTAGCTTAAATTACCAGTATTAGGTTAGCTGTCTGGCTTTTTCTTAACCCTCCTGCTGATGTAACAATCAGTCGGTGAGGAAACGGGTTGTACCGTCAGACTGTCAGCTCCCGAAACGACACAAGAAAAAAAACCTTGTAAAACCATGTAGGGTCCAATTGACTCTGTTTCTTAATACTGCAGGAGGGTTAAATAAAAAAAATATATATCAAAGAATTATTTAAAATATATATGTTTGAGAGACACGTAATGCAATTTGCAGTATATTCGCAAATAGAAGCGGCTAAGACGTAAACGCATTTTAAAATTAATTTTGAGCATTTTGAATCGATTCAAAATGTGATTCTCTATAGAATAATTTTTTTCTGCAGCTCTATTATGCAGATTCAGTGTCTGTTTACTTTTTTTCTATTTAGCCACTTAGTGTTGAAACTTAGAGTTATTGCTACGTAGTTTTCCTTGTGTCCGCTGCAGATGTCCACATTGCATAATCCTGGCAGTGGACAAAATTTACACGTTTCTCTGTGTTTTTTTTTTCCCCCTTCTTCAAATTCTTCCTGTTTTTGAAAAGCAAATTTAATAATTTTCCACAGTCAGATTGCAGGTGTTTGCTCAACCAAAGCTAGACTGCACCTGATCACACAGACGCTTTTATTTAAATCCACAGACCAAATGTCATCTGGTGTCTTAAAAATTCACATGCAACACAACTTCGTGATCATGAGCAATAATATTGAATTTGTTCTGAGATGGTGGGATGCAGCTGCGTTCTGATCACTTGCGTCGCTTTTAATTCTCGTTCAGTTGGTTGTTTGTTGACGCACAACAAACTGGAGTCTCGAACTGCCTTTGACCCAATTTCTCGAGGCCCAACAAGCCGAGACCAAACCCAAGACTGAGGCGTAACAAACCGAGACCGAGACCAGGAAAAAAACAGGTCGGGTCTGGTCTCTAGCCCTCCATCCCTTCTGAGTGTACTTTAAGTCTCAGTGAGATTCCTACTGTATTATAAACTGGAGATAAAACACCACAGTTTGACTGTGTCAAAAGTTTTTAACATTTTGAAGAAAAAGTAAAACCAGATTTAACTTGCTTGTGTTTAAAACTAAGTAGCTGTTGCTCCTACTACTACAAAACATTGCAATAATGTTTGATAATCAATCAAATGCGCAGGGCAAGCTGGTGTCACCTGGTTAATTAGTCTCTCTGCCGTACCACAAGCAGCTTACCAGCTGTCGTTTAAATTCAACTCAACGTAACGAGAACGGTGGCCGGTCGGAGTGGGAACCTTTGAGCACTTCATGATTTGATTTGATTACAAATCAGAAAGCTGCGACGCTGTCTTAAACTTTGACAGCTGTTTCTCTTCCACGTCTGGGTGCGAGTATTTAATATGGTTTCTCATGTTTGTTTTGTTTCAAAATATTTCTTTTGACTTTTACACAGCCACATGCGGTGGCTCTGGTCCAAGTTATTTTCTCTTTAGTGCGGAGGCTGCTGTAAACCGTAAACCGAAGCCGTAAACTCGTTCCACCTATTACATTGTTCAAAATTTAAAAAATAATAATAAAGTTTTGACCCTTGTATGTTATGGAAAGGACCTCAACACTATGCCATGTCTTGTTTTTCATAAGTGGGCACATTTCAAGCAGCCCAATTTGAAGATAACTGTGTAGTCACTCAGCGTCGTGGGATTAGATCTCGTTTTCATTCATAAAAGGGGCTTCAGTGGTTCCTATCCTAAAGACGATAAAGATGGAGTGAATTAAGCTCTTTTTTTTTCATTTGGATGCAGATAATTCCAGTCTTCCATGCTGCAGGGCCACAGCTCGCATTTTCATAGCCACAAAGTTATCTTTTCCTAACGCTGTACAAATCTCTTCCACTATTTATCCCCGACCTCAGGGTGTTTTTCAGTCACATAAAGGAAAAGAGCATTTTTATTTTGTGTTACTGTAGCTCCTGTGTCTGCGCCGCTTCTCTTCTCTTCTCTGTCTGCCTGCTGGCTCTCAGCTCATGTGTGACCTCTGCAGGCATCTCTTGAAATACAACGCAGATCAGCCTGGTATTTTCACACTCAGTATCTCTTCTAATGAAGTTTTACCATGAATTGAGTGATTCAAGAAGTTTTCTTTTTGTGAATTTAACAGCTCAGGTGAATTTAACTTAAAACTTACTCCCTGCTAAACAAACACTATCCACTGAATGAGTCAGAAAATCCCTCTGCTCACTTTCTGATTGGAAAGATTAATCCAGCGATGGGACAGTGGTTGGTCTATACCTCCCACTCCTTCCTCTCTTTGCAATAAAACCCTTCATTTGTTAAAAGCGGCTCAGTGGAGGTCCGGTGGGCAGCCTCCTTCGGATCAGGTGTTGTCCAGATGTGCCGGCGAGAGTCATCCTCTGGGTTCTGCTAATCTGTCATTTGGAGGGGAGAGATCGAAGAAGAAAACAACCAAACAGGCTGCAATCTGTGTCACACTGTTTTATAAGAAGACAGAAATTTAGTGTCATGTTTACTTTGTGCTAATTCAGTGTGG